CCTCTCCATGATATTTGTAAAATCGTCCCTGGCCTTCCTCGGCGTTTTCTGTCAGAAGTTAGGAACCACATTGTTCCTGACTTGTCACAACACAATTCCTATCATTTCTGAACATTTTCTTGACCTCTCTCAATATCTTCTCCGTCATGTTATTAGAATCCTTAATATCTCTAATTACACAATTGTGTCATCCCCAATATTCTTTAATATCATCGTAGCCTTCGTCAACATCTTCCCAGGTTTAAACTAAGATTCTTCCAGATACCTATAAAAAAAGGCGCCTGATATTTCTTAACATCATCCCGGATATCCACGAGTATCGTTTCTGTGCAATCTCAACTTTATCAATCAAAATCTGCCTGATACATCAACATCGCCCTTGATATCACTAAACATACCGAGTCTTTGCTATCTCTCAAAATCTTTCCTAATATTCCCGCAGACTTAGCGCAACTTCGGCTATGATATAATCCAATCTCTATCTATTACACATCGTCTATCAACATCGTCGCTGAACATCGTACCTTTCCTCAACATTTTCTACACCCACCTACAACATTATTCCCGACATTTCTTTTACTTTCTTGGCCTCAGTCAACATCTTCCTCACAATCTGTCATCAACAAACATCATCCACAACATAATCCATCGCCATTGATATCGTCAAGCGATATCTTTGCTATATCTCAAAATCTTTCTTAATTTATGTCTCTGACATCCATTAACATTTTCATTTTTATCGCACATATTGTGTCTGAAATCTCTTAACATTGCTCTTAATATGATGGAAAGTTGTCCTTAGTCTTCCACAACATCGTTTGTGGCATCAAAATGCTCCCTGACATATCTCAAAACTTTTCTGACCTTAATATATGTATCTTGAATTAGTTAACGTCTGCAACATTCTGCTACACTCTACTTGACATCTCTCAACATTATCTTGGCTGCTCTCATGCTTCAAAGCCGTTCTTGACATATCTCATTACGGTCTTGGCGTTGCTCTATATCAGTGATGTCCATAAAGTCGATCGCCAACAAAATCATAAATCAAAAATATCTATAATATAGATATTTATGCTATGCTCTAAAATTCTCAATATGCAAGAAATCATGACCATAGTTTTTAAAATCAGAAATACTATAAGGCTAAAAAGTTTACAAAGAAGGCTTTTTAAAGTATACTTAGAAGAAAGCGGTCATGAAGAATGTTCTGAACTTGTGATGCATACTGACATCAGGTGGTTAAGTAGAGGCAAGTTCTTACAGCGTTTTCGCGATTTAATTGACGAAATTAAACAATTTCTTATTACAAGAGGCGACGATTACGGGATGTTGGAGGATGACATTTGGCTTTTAGATTTGTCTTTTCTGACAGATATTACAAGTAAGCTGAATGATATGAATTTAGAACTTAAAGTACAAAATAAAACAATTTTTGACATGATGAGTTCTGTAAATGCCTTTTTGTAATTCGCGACGGTAATGAAAGCTATAACAGTATTCAAACGGGTGCTGTAATGAAACTCCTTACAGCATCCGATGCTGTAATGAGATTTTAGTAACATTTTATGGAACCATGTTCATGTTGGTGACATTGGGTCATTAATTTTTCTAGTTGTCAATGTGACAATGTTTGTCTATGGATGTTTAAATACGTTCTTAGCATCGAATACAAAGTCCACAATGATGAGGACATTGAAGTCTGAGCAATTTCTCTTATTTTGGAAGATGTACATGAAACATGTTTGTCAGGTAAACACATTTTGTGTTTTGACAGTTTCTAATTGTCAATTCAAATTTCTGTTTTCAAGTGTTACGGTGTTACCAACTGCTACATACCTATTTTCCTACTTTGTCAAAATTTATTTTATTCTTGAGAAAAAAAAAGGATAGAAAAGCGAATTACAAAAAATAGCATAAAAAACACGTTTCATAAGACTTAAAGCACTCATTCATTAAAAAACTCGTGGCTTCGCCACTCGTTATTCAACATGAATTCGTGCATTTCAAACGTGTCTTACGAAACTTGTTTTTTAATATACTATTAAACAAAAACTAAACATAATGTTATCTAGAATAATTTCACTTCTTTTCCCAATATGACGTCTCTATTAAAAAATATTGCTGCTATCGATATCGGTTTAAATAGGTATAAAAATGAAATTAAAAACCTAATTGCAGATTTTGACAATCGTTTTCAAGATTTAAAAAAAATTGATGATGTGGCACTTTTTATCACTTTTCCGTTTAATAAAAATATAAATATAGAAAAAGTTGCAGAGAAACTGTTTGACTTGTTCGAAATGGATGTACATATGTTAGAATCAGAAATCATAACACTGCAGAACGACATCTATGTTAAAGCAAGGGTATCTGAAGAAAATTGAAAGACAATTATAAAAATTTTCGAAAATGTGTTGAGAATTTGAAATGATTTTTAATTTCATATTTTCTTCATTGAAAAAATGTGATATTATTATAAGCAGGTAGGTATATATGACAGGATGAGCCAGTAGGTAAAAAAGGAAGGTGAGTTCATGTAAAAAAAAATTTTAAACCCTTCGGTCGTTCTTGGCAAGACATTTATATGAAACGTCGACCTTGGTCAAAAATTAGTGGACACCACTGCTCTATACTACCCCATTTAAACAACACCAACCTTAAACATAATATCACTAAACATAGTCCGAGTGGTTATTAGCATAGTCATTGATATTGCTAAACATTATCTCAGATATCTCTCAACTTCATCCATATCTCAATACTGTTCACTCTTTCCTCCCTTGATATCATTCAAAACATTTTCTAATAACATTGTCGTTGACTATGCTCAGTATTGCATCCCCCCATATAATCCCTGATCTCCAGGGATTAGAGGTGGGTTTGGTACTGCTTGTAGAATAGTTTGCACGCTTGCTTTAGGGTGGGTTAGTGTGGCTTTCTGCGGGGGTGGAGGAAGCGCTCCATCGAGTGTCTATCTCCTCGTGGCACCACTGGATGTGTGGCTTCCACTACTCCTTTGGGGTAAGGGAATTCACTAACTAAATGGCACTCCAACGGCCCTGTCCAAGCTGTCGTGTCGTGGCTAAGGACTTGCACGGAAGGGTAACGGCGCCGGCTGCTGTTTACAGCAACCGTCATACCATGTGCTGGTTTCCAGCACGGGGGATCTTGGCTTAACCGCCCGGATCAAGAGGAGACAACCTCAATAAAAACCCCAAAGTCAAGGTGGAACAGCTTATGCCGAAGACTTTTATCGCTTAATTGCGTTGGCCAAGAGGGAAATACTTGGTTCCTAATAAGCGGACTCTGGATACCTGGGGACCTCCAGTTTCAACAAAATCCTCTTACTGCGGCATGCGGGGCTCTGTCGCGGCGGACCTCCTTTCCCTAGCTACTCGTGGGACTTTCATGGAACAGAGTAACAAAAAAACTTTAGTAGAGGTAGATGCAACTCCGAGCGCATCAAGGCAAAAATCGCCTTCAACTAGTGAAAGCGTAGAGGACATCACACTGTCCCCCGCTTCCTCCAGTGCCAGCAGCGTCTTAACGTCTGCGACCATCGAACTTCAGGAGAGCATAGAGAAGCTCCAAGTCAAGGAAAAAAAGTTATGTGGTGCAGCACGGAAAAGGCTCAGGTGGCTGCTCAAACAAGGGCTGACTCTCGAGGAAGCCCGAGCAAAGGCCACACAGCCTATCAGTGAGGAGGAGAAGAGGGCTAAGAGACCTCGCTCCGAAAGCACAACGCCTAAAGGGCCCGACACCAAACGAGCTGCTACTGAAAGGCGTAGCGCTCCTAGCGGAGGCAATCTTCCGCAGGGGCAAAAGCCTACAGTTGCCAGCTTCAAGCAGGTGTTGGAAGGTAAAAAGATGGGTATTGCAGATTCCCTATTTCCAGAGGTGAACCTCACAACAGCCCAAATGCAGGCTATTCAAGAGGTCATCATCTCAAGAATTGTGGACCTTAGCGAGGGACATGAAGGCGACATCAAGCCTAAGTTCCTCGGCACCACATTTAAGGCAGGATGGCTGGTAGTCAACTGCGAAAACCAGGAAACAGCGGACTGGATAAAGTCCGTAACTCTAACTTTACAACCATGGGAGGGGGCATCCCTAATAGCTATCGATGAAAAGGAGCTACACAGAGCGACTACCATGAACGCCTATTTCCCCAACACTGCGTATGAGAAATCAGACCGCATTTTAAAAATTGTTAAAGGTCAGAACGAAGGCCTGAACACCAACGAATTGAGGGTGCTCAAAAGAACGACCGAAGGCAGCAGTGTCTTTCTTACGTTCTCCGTTGATCATCCCTCTGTAGAGAACATTAAAAAAGCTAACTATAAGGTTAGCTACAAGTTCGGGCAAAAGAGCGGCAAGCCTACGCTACAGAAGGTAGAACCTGAACCAACACCAGGAACCGCCAAGGACTTCAAGAAGGGTACAGGTAAGGTTAGCTCCGAAAAAAAGGGTAAGGGCAAAGCTGCCGCTCCCAAAATTGCACCCGCTAAACAATAATGGCGGGAGTAGGCTTCATCCAGGCCTCCGACGTGCTGAGCTCAAAGTCATCTATGGAATCAAACTCGTTCCTGGCATTACTCAACATAACCCTCAATACAGTCCTGGCCTCAGTAAACCCTTTCTCATCATCTATCAACGTCGTCTTTGATATAGTCCCTTACAGTCTTATCGTCTATGGCATCAAAATCATATTCCAACATTCTTCTGGTCTTCCTCTTGGGGAAGATAGATCGACATCATTCTTCATACCATTAACTTTGGTACATCTCAACATCAATTTTGTTAACTCTCAACATTGGCCCCAATATCCTCCTCCAACACTGTTGGTGAACTTCATCTTCTCTAATTCCACGTCCTCACTAATTACTAAATCCCCATTCTAGTTTATATCAACATTAAATTGAGATTTAACATTTTGTTTTAGATTTCTATCCCTTTTGGAATAGCACACTTAAATATTATTAAAATAAAAAATCAAATTTAATGTCTAAATTTTATTATTTTAACAAAAAAAAGAAAATGAAACATTACAAAAACTAACATACAAAAATTGCACCTTCAGAAATAGGTGAGAAAGTATACACGCGTATGTAAACCACCAAAATTTCAATTACAAAAGTAACTAGAAAAAATGGTCATCAACACACACACCAATTAATTTCGCAACTACATGTGTACTAATAACAAGACCGCGTACAGATCTAAAAAAGTCAACGGACTTTAACCTCTTGTTTCGCCTTGCACTCTTCGCCATTGGTAACTTCTTCCGCTAGCTGTCGCTTCTCAATCTCCGCCTTGAAGTTTTCAATGTCCTCCTGGCTGATCTGCACGAATAAAATCCCGTTGATCACGTTCAACATGTCCAAAACGGAACCCATCGAAGGCGGTTGAATTTGAATCGGCGGCAAAGTTCCGCCGTTTTTCCCCGTATAGATTTCGTTCATTTTCTTTTGCAAAACGACGGCTTGTTGAGTGAGATGCTTAAGGCACTCGGAGGACTCTTTGGTCTTTTCGTGATTGTCACCCAATTGTTGCTTGTAAATTGTGTAAGCTTCCTTTTCGTTATTCAACGCCGAACGGAAGTTACCCATACAACTTTGGGTTCTAGCCACCAAATGATAACTTACAGCCACTTTTAATGACTTTGCACCGAAGTATTTTATGTTTAGGGCGAGAGCTTTTTCTAAAAATCTTAATGACAACTCATATTCTCCTACAGCGTGTAATATTAAACTTATATTACTCTAAAAAAAAATAATTTAATTATAAGATTATATGTATATAAAATTTATATACTTACATCCAATAGCGCTACTTCAGGGTGATTTTCTCCACAAACAATCAACGCTAAATATCTTGCTCTATATAATAATTTCAAAGCAGTACTAACTTGACTGTTTGCAAAACAATACAACGCCAAATGAGCATATTCAGTTATAGTATATGGATGATCGATTCCATTAACTCTCTCCGACATCAACACAGCTTTCTGTTGATAAGCCATCGCTTCCGAGTGTTCGCCCATAATATAATTTAAACGGGCGATCATTCTAAGGCACTGTGCGATCTCTGGATGCATAGCCCCATATACGTTATTAAGAAGATTTAATGCTTCACTTATCAATTCATAACCATCCTTCAAATAGCCTTGTTGAATTTTGTTTTGACCGGTTGTATAAAAGTTATAAGCATCGGTAGCGCGCGGATTGATGTGTTTTACGATGGGGAAAATGTTCAAGATGTCTTCTTCATAAAAAATTAATTTATTTTTCGAGTCGAAGTTGTAATCGCGAAGAAGAATTTGTACGCCGGTTTTAAGACAAAATGAACGCAATAATGTGGCTTTTTGCAATGAGTATGTTTCAATAACCGCCTCCACATCCGTTGCAGAAAGATCGTAATCAAAGTAAGCTTTTAATTCAGCTTTGAGTTGCGTCCACAACGATTTCGGTGTTAAATTAGCCCATTCATTGCTATCGTTGGCTACGAGCGGGTTATTTCTTCCGCGGCGTTTACTACGTTTTCTGTTATTTCTTGATTGAAACTAAAAAAATGTTTTAAAATGTTATTTGCGGGGCGTTGAGGTGATATTAAAGACTTACTTCGTCTACACCTTGCATAGGGTTATTAATCGTTCCCGAATATAAAAAGCAATTTAAAAAGTGAGCAATCGCAACTGATAGATACATCATTTCGGTACTTTGAAGATATGTGGTAAAAAGATGCTTCGCGGCTCTTAAAATAATCTCTCCTGTGGCTATGCTGTGTAAATATTCGAGTTGTTTCACTTTGGAAAGGAGGTTACAGAGTTTACCGAGATATCTCATGTTGATGCCGCGATTATGCATCGCTTCCGATAATGTCATACCATCCATTGGGGCTGATGAGTGATCGAGACAATCCCTAATCTAAAAACGTTGTTATTTAATATTTAATAAAGTTTCTAGATCAAGTTTTTTGATTAAATTTTAGCTTACAAATGTTGGTATTTGTACTGTAAGTAAATATTCAGCTGCATCCTTAACCAGTTGTCTTTGTTTCGAAATTGGTGGATCTAAATTTTCGCAATGACGAATGCCTGGTGAATATACATCAGGGTTAAAACGAATATCGAACTCTGTGTCTTTCAATGAACCTACTGCGACAGCTGCCGTTTTTACTATGTTCTTTGTGCTTTCTTCCACTAAAACGACAACAAAAAAAAACATCTTTTTACGCCGATCTTTAAAACAAAAATCTTAACCATTTTTACATTCTAATTTCGTTCCGTCGGTGATGCTTTCGACCATTTTCTTTGCCTCCTCCGTTTCAAAGTTATTCTTCTTTTTCTCTTCATCATTTTCATCTGGTTTGGCTGCTTCGATCGATTTCTCTTTATTATTGACCTCTTCGTTTTTCTGCAAGTTTAGTTGTTGCAGATGGTACGCTGCGTATTTTATAAACATCATGTATCTCGAATCGACAAAAGCGTCGATTAATTCTTGTCTCAAACAGCACAATTTGTGTTTGTGCTCAATTGGGAAGCCCAAGATTTTAGATTCTTTACTTAAATCTTCATCGACTAAAAAATGTTTTTAATTATTAGTTTTTGTTGTAAATCAAATTATTACAGTGATTACTTACGTTTCAAGAAATTTACATCGGGTGGGAACGTCCTTAAAAGATCTAAAATGTAATATCTACCATCATTTCCTATAATTCCTTTACATTCTACACTAGAACAAAGTTCAACAGATTCGGCTTTATCATTAATTACGTGATGTGGTAAAATTTTCAATTGTTGACCAGCTTTATTTAACTATAAAATACAGATTTTTACTTATTGGATTAAAACCTTATTAAAAGTAATCCCTTAACGCACTTTTATATATTTATTTTACATATATTGTATGTTGAAAAGAGAGTTCGAATGAAATCTTGCCGTATGGCTACTTAATCAACGATGTCCGTGAGTGTATAAATTCTTAATTCAGCTAGGATAAAAAAGTGAACTCGAGGCGATCAGGTCAAAAGCAATACATTTGTATAGAATGCTTTATTTAAAACGAAGTACTCAACTTTAACAGTGAAACAGAAGTCAATACAGATATACTACTGAAAAACTCGTAAAGTCTCAACCATCTATCTTAATAAAATAACCGCCAGAGATAACGAAAACATCACAAGCACGTAAGAAGACAGAAAAGCTAAAAGTTAGGTAAAACACAAGACGTCTTTACTGGCTGCATATAGTTGTATAATGGAATACCAAATAAAACATTATCCCAGAAGCACAAATTTGTTTCTGTACATGTCATATAACTTCTAATCAGATACTACCCCTCGTTGAACACATTATCGCGGGATTTCTTCGACATTTAACGTGAATATCGTCGCGTCTATAACGAAGCAACGCCACATAATATTAATCGATGAGATAAAGTTGTGGGATAAACCCCGACGAAACTCCTACCAATCTTCATAGACACTATATTAACTGTCAACTGATGGGCAAAAACAAATGCAAAATACTGATCCAACCGAATAATTGATTGATTGACTGACTTTTGCTCAAATGTTCCATCAATCGTTTGCCTTGTTCATGTAGGCGTTCTTTACCAATCAAATTCATCCACAAATCGGGAGCAAGCACATTTTGTCACTTTGAATAGTACAGGCGCCACATAGCATTTCTAAAAGGAGTTATATATTTAAAATAAAAACAGTAACTTGCAACATGTATCACTTAGATAGTTATATATTTGTTTAGGGTATGTCGAACGTTATGATCAGACAATAACCCTTAAAACACAAAATCCATTCCAACAACGTTGTAAATTTCATACGTTCAGCTCACCTTCATGATCGCGTACATGGATGAACATTCACAAAAGAAAGTTGTGTACACGATGCACCCATACATGAACTGGTCAAAAACGAATGGTTAGAACAAATCTATTAAAACTGGTTATGCCAGACACATCATGGGAACATACACGCCTTGCAAAACAAAAAAACGTAAATATCACTTCATCCAAAAGTAAAATAAAACTGTACAAGTCAGTTATAAGACCAACAACCACTTTTGCAGAAAGAATTCCAAACACAATATGTATGTGAAGAATGACACTATCTATCGTGATACTGCTACAGACAGTTAATATGTTACAAAAATATGTTTTGGCAGATAACTTACAGTAAATGTATAAAATCTAATGATAAATCACTGTAATATACAGGATGATTCAAAAAATCCCTGACAGACTTCTAGGGTAGATAATACATACAAGTATCTATCAATTGGTCTCTTACAAAGCAAAATATATCTGACTGAATATATCTGAATACGAAAATCGCGTATTACAATACTAGCACTGTGATATTGGTTGCATACTTGCAATGATGACGTCGGGTACCATAATTAATTAACACACTGTATGTAAGAAATATATAACAAACATTACTCCTTCGAAAAATAACGATTCAGAGGAATTTGCCTTTTTCTTTGCCGGAGAATTTGATGAAAATGTGCCATTACATCATTACCATTTAAAATATCCACTGCTCTACCGGTAACAGTTTTGTCAGGGTGATGTTGTTCAATAAAAGCCTGCACATCATTCCACTTATTGCAAATATCCTTTATTGCAGCAGTTGAAGGATCTGGTACCTCATGTTCTTCTGCTGAATGCTCCTCCTCCACAGCTTTCACCTGCCCAAGTTGTAATTCCATAAGTTCTTCTGGAGTGAGTCCTGCAGGAGCTCCGCCACATCATTCTCGTTGATTTCCAACTCCAAACTTATGCCAATGTTTTCTCCATGCTGACTGCAATGTACGACAAGAGATATTGTTCCAGGCATTATCAATGAACTTTATGCAGTGGATAATGTTAAAATGATTCTTCCAGAAATCTCGCAGGGTTAAATTTGTATCATTAGTCACCTGGAAACACAGTGTAAAAAGATCTTTCATATAGAGCTTCTTAAAGTTTGAAATTATTTGCTGATCCATTGGCTGTAATAAGGATGTGGTGTTAGGTGGCAGAAATTTGTTCTTTATAAAATTGTATGCAGAATCAAGGTCTCCTTCAATATTTGGATTGAGCAGGAGCATTGTCCATAAGTAGCACACATTAAACGGGCAGCTTCTTTTCTTCAAGATAAGTTTTAATAGAAGGAGCAAAAACGTCATTTGACCACTCTCTAAAATATATTCTGGTAACCCAAACCTTGGAATTTGATCTCCACATTACTGGCAGCTTACTTTTTATTACTTTATTGCTCTTAAAAACACGCGGATTTTCAGAATGTTATACTAAAAGGGGTTTAATTTTGAAATATGCACATTTGCACATAATAATAATGTAATCCATCCTTCATTGCTTTGTGGCCAGGTAGTGATTTTTCTTCTTTGGATATATATGTCCTCTTTGGCATTTTTTTCCAAAATAGCCCAGTTTCATTGCAATTGAAAATTTAATTCGAGACGTAACCTTCTAAGTCTATAAATTTACGAAAGCCCTTCACATATTTCTCTGCTACCTTTTGATCCGAACTAGCCGCCTCTCCATGCCTAACAATACTATGAATTCCAGTTCGTCGACGAAGTTTTTCGAACCAACCCCTACTAGCCTTAAATTCCATGACACTACTAGTATCACTTGTACTTGGCTGGTTCGACAATAAATATTGATAAAGTTCTAAAGCGTTTGTACATATAAAAGCTTCGCTCACACTACCTCCCTTAAGCCTCTTTTCATTAATCCAAACTAAAAACAATTTTTCTACTTCTTCTAACACTTGAAGCCTAACTTAGTCACTCCTTTAGATACATCAGCTTTCTTCAGTGCATCTTTATTCTTTAGAATAGTACAGATTGTCGATTTCGCCATATTGTACTCTTTGGCCAGATCTGAAACACGAACGCCACTTTCATATTTAGCTATAATTTCTTTTTTTGTATTAATAGTAATACGTATATAATCAATAGTAATAGTATATAATAAGGCTATTTAGGTAAAAAAAGATAAAACTAAAAAACGTATGTTGTTAGAACTCTAGTGCCGACGCTATTTGTGCGAATTTGTTTGTTGCTGGAGCCGTTGCTGTGTGCAGGGTTTTATGTATTGAAAGTCACGTTCGCTTCTTGCGCTCTGTAGGTGAACCGAAGCAAAATATGTTCGCAAATAATGTTCGTAAATCGATTTGTTCGTGAACAGAGACGTTCGCGATCTGAGGTATCACTGTATTATAAAAAATTGCTGTGAATCTCTTAGTGAACCGTAACATTTTGCATTCTGTTGATGACAACTGTCAGATGGACTCTGTATACACTGATTTTAGTAAAGCTTTTGATAAAGTTGATCTTGCTAGAAAAAATTGAACATGTTGGTTTACCCTACAGCATACAACAGTGGTTTGCTTCATGTATGGCTGATAGGACGCACTCGATTGGAGTTAGGGGTTTTTCCTCGCAAACGATGTCAGTCTCATCCGGCGGTCCTCAGGGAAGCATTATTGGACCTTCGCTTTTCAATATTTACATTAATGACATATTTAAGTGTTTTAAACACGCTAACTGTATAATGTATGAAGACACTGTTCTGCTTTTTAGCGAGATCTATGTGAAATTGCTCAATATTGTTTTACAAACTTCATTACCATAAATTATAGCAAATGCTTTACAATTACTTTTACAAAAAAGCCTGGTCCTATACTCTTTAGGTGCCTTTAGTGCGAGGGAGATTTGGGTATTGGGAGATTTGAAGGAGGGAGAATGACACTGTCACGAAATCTATTTAACTGCGCAGGGTGTTTGCAAGGTTTATAGAACATAAGGTTACCTCATTCCCTATGCCTCTGTAGTATCGATTATTACCCCGCAGATTGACGTCACTGGTTCGATACAGTCAAAATAAAAGATAGCCTATACGTGCCTATACTGTGGTACAGTCTATATAAAATATTTAAACCTCGCATCGTGTTGTGCTGTTCATAGAACCAGCTACGTCACTGACCCACCTTGCCTCTCAGAGGAGGAAAATCGGTATTGGGTAACCTTATGTTCCATAGACCTTGGGGTGTTTGGGTATTTGGTGATTCGGCGCAGATTCGGTGATCCGGCCATCACGTGCCACAACGCGACCTAACCTAACAATAATTTGTAGTACAGTCATAGTACAGTCGAGTATTGTATTGTAGTATAGGTTTCCGATTTTTTTGCATCATATTAAATATGACAAACATACTACTGTTGTTAGCATTCTTGAAGAAACGACAAATTATTAGCAGTTATTACGCGTGCGCAAAATACATTTTACCTCCAAAACATAAACTTCAACCAACTTTTGGGTATTTGGAGAAACGGAGATTTACCCCCAACGTACTGGCGTCACGTGATCGTCATCAGCCAATCAGACGAATACCCAAATACCCTGCGCAGTAAATAGGCTTCGTGACAGTGTCATTCTCCCTCCTTCAAATCTCCCAATACCCAAATACCCAAATCTCCCTCGCACTAAAGGCACCTTTTGAGTGCATCATTGGAGGGAACTTGTTGAACAGTGTTATTTCTATAAGGGATTTGGGCGCGACGTTTGATAGTAAGCTATTATTCACTGAGCACGTCGATTTGGTGGTTGGCAAGACTTTTCGTATGCTTGGATTTTTCATAAGATCAGCTGCTAATTTTACCAACACTAATTCATTAATGACTCTCTATTATACGTACATTATACATGTTTAACATTTTATATTATTGCACTGTTGTGTGGAATCCACAATACGATATATATTCGTGGAACGACTAGAGCCTGTTTAAAAGAGATTCCTTCGTTTTTTCAGCATTCGCCAATGTTGCGCTCTTTCCATTGACATAGTTACGTACGAATCCTTAATCTTCTTTAAAAGAGGGACGCTCGCTGCCATTATTGCCAGAACATGCCATATATTGATTAATTAACACTTAGTTCTTGTCCTATACATGTTGATTGTTAGGTACCTCGATTTTTCACTTATTTTTAATCTATTATACTTTGTTGTTTTTTTCTTTCTTATTGTATTTTTTTAGTGGCAAGTGAATTGGTGCTGTGTTCCATGAATGTAAATAAGTAATGGAAAACATAATTAGAGTGTCAGTGTGAATTTTTTAAAAGGTTTAGGTAATTATAAGGAAAAAAAGTAAATAAACTATTACTATAAAGGAATTTAAGTTAAAGCTTTGTACTAAGTACAAAGAAAAACAGGATCTAATCCTTAATCAAGATTTCAACACAACATGCGAGATCCTAGATACAAAATGAAATGTAGTTTTTAGTGATTCATGTAGGTCTAGGATTGATATTAAGACAACATTGAGATACCATAATGATTCCATACCTGAGGAGAGGTAACTTGATACATAGCAATGATAACAATGATGTAATCAATGATACAGCTGGGTTCATGAATATAGACATGAACCTCAAGATACAATTGTAATATAAACATATTTAGGACTGCAATTTACACTTTTAATCTTATTCTTATTTAAGTAATTTGAATTCCACTTGTTATTGCTAATGGAAGTTACATAGTAGACCAATCTGTTTAATAACAGAGTATGTCGTTATTTTCGTCGTCGATTTCTAAAGCACACATAACATTAGTTGCGAATGGACGCATTTGAGGTATGTCCAAACATACTAATGACTCACTTAGATGTAAACATTTACATCAACCTAGTAATATTTTAGTAATAACGACTCATTAACCTCGATTTTAGTATTTTGCGTAATATATACAACACGCATCCTTTATACTCAATAATTCACCAATTTTAAAGAATCAATAAAAGTGCGTTAAAGAGATTAATAACACAATTAAATAATAATTGTAATAACATACTAATTCCAAATATTTAGGATGTGTAAGAACCGTTTTTCCAAAATCAATAGATCCATACACAACAGATTGTTCTTGTTCTCTTTCAAGTATTCCTGGTATAATTGATTGTGCGGTAACTCTATATCCACGATAATCTATAACAACTGTTCCTAATGTATACAAATTAGGCAAATCTACAGCGCTATACACGCGAACACCTTGTAAATCATTTCTCTATAAAAAAAAAATATATTAACTTTCAATCAGATGAAAATCATGGTGAACTTACTGGTGCTACAAAAGCGGCAGCGTCGCCGCCTAATTCTTTATAATGATCCCTAACATCAAAACCAAGCGAAAAAAATATATTGTTCCATATAAACATTTGCATTTTGGCTTCTTCACCCGGATTTATGGCCATTACGTTACCATCGATGACCGCCATAGCACCTCGAGTTGCTGCAGCGACAAAATCGCTGTGAACTTTAAAAATAGCTCTTTCGCGTAATAAACGTTCTGGAAGGGTTTTTCTGGGCAGTTCTCTGGTTGTTTGAAGTTCTTCGTTCCAATCGCGAGTTTGTCCCGGTATATGTTCTTCATAACCCAATTTCGAAGAAAACGCTGTAAAAAAATAAAATCAAAAAATCGGTTTAATAACAATTTTTTTAATTTACTATCTTCAGCACGAATCGCATCGATTGTATGATCGAGTATAGGTGCTGTCCAACTATAAATTTGATAAGGTGTTGCGACCCGTTCAAAAGGATGTCTTTGGCTGCGTTTCTTTTGTAAAATAGCAAAGTGACGTTTGAACATAGGCGATATTTGATTAAGCAGCTCAATTAACGAATGGCACAAGTGACTAGGAGTTGCTGGTTTAGGATTAAATTCATCATCTGATGACCTAAACATAAATTTTTTTTACCTTTCTGTTTAATAATTAAGAAAAAGAATACATACTGGTTAATATAAAAACCTCTTGAACAAGCTGAGATATGGTAACGTTTTTCTTCCAAAGTAACAACATACAAATACATTAAATCACCATGAATTTTTCGGTGTCCCGGTGGTGGATTCCACGCAGAAGTAGTTAACACTTTGACGCTTTGAGGAACTTTTTGATCTTTGTGTTGCGGTTGTAACGCGCTTAACGGCCTATCTTTTCCTTCGGGCATAATGTAATCAGGAGGAGTACAATCAACGCTTTCCGGCCGCATTTTTTTCTTTTCCAAAATATCCCCTTGCGTCACCGTGTTCAAAAAACTCAAAGAATTACATTCAACCCCGTTATAAGCATCGGCAGGATCTAAGGATTTTAAAAGATCACGAACGTGTCTGACGTGAATTCGAGCCTCGCGCATCGTGTACGGCTCCTCAACCACTTTAATAATCGAACCCTCCTTCAATCCTTCAACATTTTTCAATTCAGCGAAATTATCCAAGGTATTTCCATCTAACTGGAGCGAAAAACAAGTTCGGTGACAAGTATCTTCACGATCCATTAATAATTGATGGATTTCTTGGACCAATTCCATGCTGGAAACTTGGATATCGAATGGTTCCGCACCTGGACTTACGATTTTTACGGAAAAACCCACATCTTGGATGAAAACGACTTCATCTTTGTTCTTTGATTCATCCGCATCTTTATCTTTTTCATTTTCTGATGAGGATTGATCGTCGGAAACTCCATTTATTTTTAATTCGTTGTTTTCTTTGGAGTTTTCATCTATTATATGAAACAAAAAAGGTTTGATTTATTCGTTAAAGTGGAATTTACTTAAAATAAAGAATTATAATTGAAATCCATTTTACCAGTTGTTAATTTTGAAGTAGATAAATAATTTAAACTTTGAATTTGTACTTTTAAACTGGTTTTTATTTAATATAAATGTAACTAGTTTCGCCCCTTAGCCATCGTCAGAGATTATTTCTTATTCTTGTTAAAGAGATCACAAATCGAAATTGAAGGTCATATTATTTTTAATAAATGAGTGCTTTAAGTCTTATAAAACGTGTTTTTTATGCTATTTTTTTGTAATTCGCGTTTTATCCTTTTTTTTTAACAAAAATAAAATAAATTTTGACAGTGTAGGGAAATAGGTATGTAGCGGTTGGTAACATTGAAAATAGAAATTTGAATTGACAATTAGAAATTGTCAAAACACAAAATGTATTCACCTGAAAAAAATGTTTCATGTACACCTCCTGAAATAAGAGAAATTGCTCAGAGTTGTATTAAAACAAATTGTCACATTAAAAATTAATGACCCAATGTCACCAACTTGAACTGATTCCATAAAATGTTACTAAAATCTCATTACAGCACCCATTTGAGTACTGTGATTTTTCAGCGAATTACAAAAAATAAATTTAAGGACGAATTACACATTAACAGGTTAAAATTTAAGAACGTTCTGCATCCTCATTCTTAAAATAAAGTAATGTATATGGACAGATAAGTGTTAATTTTCAAAATAAGCGGTATTTCACAACAAGCAACAGATATAAGACCATGAAACGATTTAATTTATTGATTACAATTTATCTCTTGTTTATTCTTTGTGATTCTCTATTATATATTTACCGCGTCAAAATGAATTGGATTATGCTCTCAATACTTAAATAATAAATCTTAATCCTTTAAATTGATGGGTTGAGTAATTGTTGCTATAATTAATAAATTACTTAATAAATAAAGAACTAACTAATGTATTGATTGGAGTTAAACACGAATCTAAATAGAAAAATATAATTTTAAACGGTGACAACATGGACGGATACGAAATTGAGATTTCTAGACGCTATAACCATTCTAACCTCAAATTGGTGTTTGGTTACGTAATAATTTTCTGAATTAAAATTGAAAGGAATTAGGGGCCGGCAAAAAGATACGACCTTTCCACCCGATAACTCACCGTTTTTCTTATCGGACTCCTCTCGAATCTTCTCGTTATCGCCGGCGGCCGATTTATTTTTCAGGTTTAAGTCTTCTTCGTTAACTGCCGAGCCGAGTGCCATTCTCTTTTCGTTTCAAAAAACCGTTTAAAAGCAAAACCGCTGCCGAAATTAGACTATTACAATTAATAAAAATTTTTGCGTTTTCTTAATTTTCCAAAGGGGTTGGTTCCGGTCGACACCACCACCGCGATTCACAACGAATTTCACCACGCACTTTTTTCCTTTTCAGCCAAAAGCTACAGTCGAACAATCCTGCTCATTGTTTAGCACGTGCTCCTGCAGAGCTACTGATAAGAGTGGGTACGTTCGAAAATTTCAATTCACGTCACTTATGTCATTTCACCATCAACGGCCACGTTCAATTACCTTAGTTTATGTAATATAAATATTTCTGGAGTAAAAATTGTTGTGTCTCCATCAAAATATAACAATTTTTTATAACAATTCATTCTGAATTAGCTCTAATTTTACATTAAAAACTATAATAATTAAGTAATGAACATACAGTTGGCAAAAGAAATTCTTAATTTCTCGCATAAATAAAATATATTAAAAGAACATATTGTAATCGTGTAAAAATTCGACTTTGAATGAATAGCCGATTTTGAAATTAACATTAATGATACAGATAAGAAATTGAGGACGTTGGATTTTGTGAACTCAAAAACCCAATCATATCTGGTATTTCAGAAAGTGTTTCTGAGTCACTAATAAACGTTTTGATTATCTTAAGTTTCAACAGTATAATAATCAAAATTCTAAGAATATTGTCGTCAGGTTCCTGTCAAGAATGATTTGTGCAAGTTCCTAAGTTCCAGCAACATGTGAAATATGAGCGCAATGAAAGTTCAAGAGTGACTTGAAGTATTTTGGTGAAAAATTTGTGTCATGAATTCATGCAATATCTAGGTTTCTGTCAGTAGTAGGTATCCAAACATTCTGCCATGAGTATCTGAACCTCTGCAAGCAATATACAGTTTACTATTACCAATGTGTAGTCTTCTGTTAGCAGTACATAATCTTCCAGTAGTATCAAGACTTTTGCCAACAGTATTAAATTTTCTGTCACCAGTATTAAATCTAAGTTCCAGCAATATGTTAAATATGAGTGTAATGAAAATTCAAGAGCGACTCGAAGTATTTTGAGTGACACATCTGACAGTGGAGAATGTCAAACTTAGCACCAAGGAATAGTACAAATTTGCATGGTTCACAGGTTTTTTTGTTGTAGCTCTCGAATATGTTTTTTGAAGATGAACGATATATTCTTTATGTATCGCAAATTGGATAGTGACGGTATTCTGATTAGAGTAGAGAAGACTTTCTGCATCAGCTAGTCTCAACCCAAACAGGAAGGACAATATATGTTTACTCCCATCCTGGTTATGAGGTGTCTTTTTATGTTATTTACAAAGGATCTAGAATCTTTTGATAGAAATCTAGAATCACGTCGTCTTAATACTCTCTGAAGTTCCTCGACACATTCTTATACTGTAATTTGATATAATTGAACGATAGTAGCAATAAAAATCATAAAATTAAATCTCGTTTATAGTAACTTTCAGAATCTGGTTCTTGTTAGTTGCATATAGTCTTTATTAGCAGTAACTAGTCCTTTGCCAATAGTATCTACTCTTCTATATCTAGTCCTCCAATAGCAACATCTAATCCTCTGTCAGCAGTATTCTAACTTCTCCTATCAGTATTTGATCATCAGTAAATACTATACAATCTTCTATTACAAATGATTAGTATAATATTAATGGTGTCTAGTCGTCCATTAGCAGTATATAATATTCCAGTAGTATCTAGTCTTTTTCCAGAAATATGTAGTAGTCTGCCAATAGTATCTAGTCCTCTAGCAACTGTATCTTGTTTTCTGGTACTCATCTGTATCTAGTTTTCAATTAACAATATCTAATTCCCTGTCAGTATGTGGTTTTCTTTACCTATGTCTAGTCTTCCAGTAATATCAAGTCTTCTGTCAGCAGTATTTAGTCTTCTGCAGTCGGTATCTATACTTCTGTAAAAACAGAATCTGCTTTTTTGTATCTAGTCTTCCATTAGCAATATCTAGGTCTCAGTCAGCAGTATCCAAACATTCTACCATGAGTATCTGAACATCTGCAAACAGTATACAGTCTACTTCTACCAATGTGTAGTCTTCTGTTAGCAGTACATAATCTTCCAGTAGTATCAAAACTTCTCCCAGCAGTATTAAGTCTTCTGCTTGTCTGTTAAACGTTTAAAAGCATCTCTTCAAAGCATTGTTTATCATTATTTAGAAGGAAATTTGAATTTCTACCACTGTATGATGCCTTGGTTTTGGGAAAAAGATGTTTTACATGCTTTTAGACAGATCGATCCGAATGCTATGCTAAAAACTATGTAAAACCACTCTTTCTTATATTCCCCATTTTCTTCAGTTCAGGTTTTATTCTTAACGAATAATAGAAAGATTTTGTTTATCCTGTTTTTAAGTCTGGTGGTCATAATGACTTAACGCAATACCGTCCAATATCAATTTTATCTCTACCTTCTAAAATCTTTGAAAGAACCATTTATTCAACTTAATTGCTGGACAACACGACTTTCTGTGTAATAGATCAATCAAACTTAATTTAGTAACTTATTCCAACTTCATCCATAACGCTTTTGATTTCAAACCAAGTAGATACAATCCATGCAGATTTTAGTAGCACTTTCGATATTCTTCGATTGGGTTAATGTTGGGTCGAGTTGCGAACTTCTAAAGATTCTGTTAAACTTTAGAGAACCTTTTTTTTCTAAACCGGTTCCACAAATATTGTGTCAACAATAACCTCTTCCTTTTAGAAATATCTTAAAATCACTTTTTCACTCAGTTTCCTCCTAAATTTCTCTTATAAACTGGGTAATACTGATCTTCAAGCAGTTGAACAGTATATCGATAAATTTATTAGTATTAATTTGTACACATTCTGCATATATCGTATTTTCATAATATGTGTATAACGGTATCAATAAAAGCAATAGTAACAAATTGTGTTAAAATTTTCCATTAAAAATTATTTCTATTTTAGCTTGACCTTAAGGTCATTAAGACGTAATACGACCTCGAATCATGCTCAAACATTTACATGCAATAACCATTTTACATAATGCACGTTAAAAATGTGGTAATATTGAAGTGTTGCATGATTTTCTATAGGATATGCATTACCTCTGGAGGGCGTATTAGATAGTAGTGGGGAAAAGGTAAGATAAAGTTTGGTCCAAATTTTTGGACATTGAGTCTGTAGTTATGGACGTGCTCCATGACAATAAAATAGAATATACAAAATACTTTGATTTTTGTAATTTAAGATTAAAATTTAAAAAAAGAGCAAAATTTTATTGATGAAGAAGAAAATACTTATAATCAGAGTATATTATACATATATATTTAGATATATGTACTTAGAAAATATATTAATAACACTAAAAACAGGCATAGAGAAAATATGCCACATAGAACGTGAAAAAAGAAAATGGGAAGGCTGGAGGCTCCAGATTGGGAATCTTCTCGCACGATCTCCAGCTGCATCTTTCCATTTCGCTAGAGTCATACTGCACGATTGCTCAGGCCGAAATAACTGCTATAAATGTAGCACCTAATGTGATCATCGACTCCAAAAAAGATAGCAAAAATGTTGTATTCTGCATTGATAGTAGACAGGCTATGCTAGCGCTTAGTAGGCATCGAACTACATCATCGTTGTTTATAACAACGTCACGATAAAGTGGCGGAAATTACCGGTTTTCCCTGAACTGTTTGTACCACTAACTATTAATACAGAATCAAAGTTGATCAACTCCATGGTCCATCGAGCTTTTTGCCATAGATGGGATGAGACTGCAGTAGGTGTTTTTGCAAAGAAAACTCTACTCTACCCTGACTGGAAGAGATCAATTCAGTTCCTAAGAAAATTAAAAAGTGATTTGAAGCTCCTCACCCATTTCCTGACCGGACACTGTAGGTTACGTAGGCTTATGTTCTACATGAAGCTGGCGAACACAACCCATATTGTTTGTGACTGTCCCAACGTCGCGTACTTAAGGGAATCCATTTTTGGCGTATCATGGCCCCAAATTTCGGACATAAAGAACATATCCTTCTATTATATAGGATGAGTCAAATGTCTGGAATATAGCCAACAACTTCGCCATTTGTAGTTTTAAAGAAAAATGTTTCAACTACAAGTTTCTTTATTAACTGTTGCACATTTTTTAGGGATATTTGCTTGTTTGTATTGTGTTTTGTTTTGTTGCTATGGTAACCAACATTGTTATTTTAAATGAGATGCATATATTTTTTTTTGCATACTTTGATTGAGGATAAATCCCTGTATACGATGAACATATCAAATTATAAAAATATTATATCAGCAAATTACAATCAAAGTAGGTGCCGAAATAACGCCGTTGACAATTTAAATGTCAAAAAAATGACAGTTTCAACAATCTTATGGTTTAAGACACCACATAAAATGTGAAAAAGAAAATGGGCATCAATTTCCACATAAACTCATTGCCTATTTTTGGATAACTGATTTCTGGGATTCAAAAATCAATAAAAAACCATCAATATTTAAAGTAAATTGTGCCCATTGTAACAAAACGACTCAACATAACCTAAACTCCAACACATTTTTGACTCAATTTGAAAGGTGTTGATAAAGTAGAGCTCATTGATTTTCTCGGGATGGATACTGTAGCATGATGACCAGTTTCAGATTGATATAATATTAATCACAGAGTCTCGGCCATAAGCAACCTTGGCTAAATATTTCGGCAGATTTCTGGACATCCAATTCTATTTGTTACATCTTAAATTTTATTCTTTCAGTATATGTAGTAAAAGAAATTGTCTTTAAAAACGGAATACAAGGAAATATGACAAAGCTATTCGATTTCTCGGTATAATTATCAGATATTAAATCCATGGTGAATGTTTTTATGCATATGGGGTAGTAGAAACTGCGTTTAAGAAGTGAGTGAAAGAGAATTGGGAAACGCCATTCGATAGAATATTTTTGGGTATAATTATCAGTAATTAAAACTACAACATAACTTAAGTGAAATGAAAAAACCAGAAAGCGTCCGTTATTAATAAAATATCAGAATAAATTGGTATATCAAAACTTCTACAATTTTACCATTGTAACAGAATTTTCAAAAAACCATTTAATTTTAGAAAATGTACGTGTTCACAAGTGAATTTGATGAATTTTGTGGCTGTACAGATAGACCTAACACCATATTTAGTTATATGACTGTATTGAGAAGGGACTGTTGCACAGTTGACCAAAGATTTCAAAATAAAAGGATGTTTCTCTACATATTTTAAAATAAAAATCATATTAATTACTTAACACAATTTTATTGTTATTAACAATACAATTAATAAAAATTAGGCGTGTTCATATCAGATCGAATTTGTTATGTCTCATAAAAAAAATTATAAATTGTACCAAATAACACAATCAAAAATATGTAACAGAACTTATCCATTGATTAATTAAAAATAAAATAAATTTAAAAGTCTTAAAAATCTGTGCATATTTATAAATTATTTCAAAACGGCGCCCAAAACTAGGCACATAAATTCTAAACAATACAGCTAGGGCATGTAATTATTACATGATTGGGAAAATAAGATGACTCATCAAAAACTATAAGAAAATTGAAAACGGAACAATAAAAGTAAACGCTGTGAATATTTATAACTGCCTTTTTTCCCTTTTCTTCTCGTTTACTTTTTGAAAAAGCTTTAATGTAGATTGAAGAGATCACCAGCTGATGGTAACGGCGCTAAACCTCCCGTTACATCTGGAAGTTGCGTTAAATCGGGAAGGTTTTGTATATGGGATTTTAATTCTTGCCGGACACCATAAATTTTTTGTAATTTATCTTGATATTCCTAAAAAAATTGTTTTAGATACACATTATTTTATTTTATTAATAAAAAATACTTCTAAAGTGCGCTCCGCTTGTGCCAATAATTCCTTTTGAGATGGCAAAAAATCCTTTAACATATTCGTAATTTTTTTTCGACTCTCAATTTCTACACTTAATCTACTGTTGTATTCATTAACGACGCTTATTGCTTCATCAACTTGAACTTTTAGTTTTTCAGCACATAACTTATCTAAACAAACATAAAAATTAAAATAATATTTTATTGTAATACAGGTGTCTCAGCGAGACCTGTCATTAGACGTTTCTGGGCAAAATAAAAATTTGAGAATGCAGATTTCTAACACTTCCGGTTCTACCGCAAGTCGCCACCTACTTTTTTTAATGGAACATCCTGTATATTTTTACAAGTTTGGATTTGTCAGTTTTCTAGTGTGCCTTGGAAAACAAATGTTTAATGACTTATTGACAAACGTCAAAGTCTAATTTAGGTTGTTTGATGCTTGTGAGTCTAAAACCAGTTAAAATGGATATTAATAACGTAAATAATGTTTATACAAATGAAGAAATCCTTAATTTATGTTTTGTACATGGAAAGGGCGACAAAGTTTTTAGTAGAACTTGCAGAATGTTTAATGAAAACTATCCACATTTACCTCCGATGACAGAAGATAAATTTAGAAGAATAGAAGCAAATTTTTTGCATTTTGGACGAATTAATCACGTGTTTAACTGATCAAAAAATATAGTAGATAATGCAGCGGAAGAGGTGCATACCTTAGCTTATTTCGAGCCCAGCCCCAGCGCCTCAATTCGAGCTGCCAAAGAAGATCTGGGAATAATACTACGAACTTTGTCGCGCTTTTCATGTATAATAAAATCCGAAAACAACATAACTATAACTATAATATTATACAACAGAGATTTTAAAGAACAACGAAAATACTGGAAAATAGTCAAGGACAACAGAATGCTCGATTATCCCCTAAAACCGGAACATAGAGAAGTAGAATTAAAATATATCGAAAACCTAGCTGACACCAATAATTTCCCCCTCACCATGATCAAAAAACTTATTAAAAACCACTTATAGATCCATACCCTATCCCTATAACAATCTAACTCTCCAATCTAAAGCCATCTTTGCAAGACACAACATCAAATTAGCTTTTTCCAACAGCCACACCATAGATAAGATTTTGTCAAATTATCACAAAAAACAAGATTTCTTACAAAACAACGACGTATACTCTGATGAATGTTACAATTGTAATGCAATATACAGGGTGTGTCAAATATCTGGAATATAGCCAATAATTTCGCCATTTGTGGTTTTAAAGAAAAATGTTTCAAATAAAAAATTCTTTGTTAATTGTGGCGCTTTTTACGGCGATATTTGCTTGTTTACATTGTTTTTTGTTTCGTTGCTATGGCAACCAACATTGTTATTTGAAGTCGGATGCATATGTTTTTTTGCATGTTTTGATAGAGGATAAATCCCTCTACGCGATGAACATATTAAATCATATGGTTGTATAATTACAATATTAAATTACAATCAAAGCAGGTGCCGAAATAACGCCGTTGACAGGTTTAAATGTCAAAAAAGTGACAGTTTAAACAAATATGGCGCAATTAAGCGAACAAAGAATCCAAATATTAATGATGTATGGGTACGGTGATAGAAAACGCAGACAAAGAGAAATTTGTACACTGTTCAATAATATTTACCCGGATACACAATTCACAGTATCCAAAATATTAAAAAAATTCTTTAATACCGGAGTGTTAAAAATTTTCCAAAAGTGAACGGCCGAAGACAGCTACCAATGATGAAACTACATTAAACGTGTGTACCCATACATTATTAGTTATTCATAATTATTGAAACTGTCCTTTTTTTGACATTTAAAGCTGTCAACAGCGTTATTTCGACGCCTACTTTGATTGTAATTTGCTGATAATAACTTCAGAAAACGCATTTTTTCTCGGTTTTTTTCTTATAAAACCGTATGATTTGATATGTTCATCGCATAGAGGGATTTATCCTCTATCAAAGTATGCAAAAAAAACATATGCATCCCATTTAAAATAACAATGTTGGTTGCCACAGCAACGAAACAAAAAAACAATACAAACAAGCAAATATCGCAAAAAAATGCGCCATGATTAATAAAAAAACTTGTATTTGAAACATTTTTCTTTAAAACGACAATTGGCGAAGTTGTTGGCTAAATTCCAGACATTTGACACACCCTGTATATTGGACAAACGGGTAGGAAGCTCAAACAAAGACTTAAAGAACACAAAACCGATAATAAATCCAACATTTACAGACACTACATGGAAACAGGACATAAAATAGATTATGATAATGTGAAACTGATTCATAAACAACCAAAATTGTATAAATTTGATCTTTTAGAAATGTTGGACATAGAAAAATATAATAACATACCCGAATATGAAACCTTAAACGATCAAACCTCATATTTTTATAAACCCTTATTTAAATAAGACTTGAAATTTCCAAAATCTGATCTTTTAAAAATGTCCCCTCCCTTCTTCATATTTTGTGTCCGGTTACTATGTGTTATAAACTGGTGTCATTCTTGTTCTTTTAATGCTAAATTTTAAAGATAGACTTTATTTACTTATTGCTCAATTAAAAAAAAAAATTTTTTAACGTGTTGTAATGTTCGTGTGTTCACGTCATTTTATTGTTATATTGCCTTTCTGACAGTAAGTTACAAAAAAGTACAAAAAGTATGGAATAATGGTTCAACAGCCTAAACTTCAACTTATATTAAAAAAGTTTTAAATAAAAGTTACTTGAAACTATTTTCCGCATATCTTGGCGTAGAAATAAAATAAAAATGTGTGTGTTTTAAATAGAACACCCTGTATATTTTAAGGTTTTTGGATTCCTTTTGACAAGGTGTTGCAAGGTGCTACAAGGTTTTAATGCTTTAAACTGCATAGTTTTCGACATATTGTAACTTTTATTTAAAAAGATTTGATGTAGCGACAACTAAGTTATGGCGTCATTATGGAATAGACAACCTAAGCTTTGACATCACAGAGATGGGCGGAGCCTATACTGACTCCAAATGTCTTCGTTGCTAACGATAAATCGCCAAAAAATGTCATCACTTAGTTTATTTTATTTTAACACTAATTGAAAATTGCATATGGTGATTTACCGTTAGCAACGAAAATGTTTGGAGTCAGTATAAGCTCCGGCCATCTCTGTGACGTCAAGGCTTAGGTTGTCTATTAGCAACGAAAATGTTTGGAGTCGGTATAAGCTCCGCCCATCTCTATGACGTCAAGACTTAGGTTGTCTATTAGTGTTAAAATAAAATAAATTAAGTGACATTTTAGATGACATTTTTATGGCGTTTTATCTTAGCAACTGTGGTATAAGCTCCGCCCACCTCTGTGACGTCAAGGCTTAGGTTGTCGCTACGTCAAATCTTTTTAAATAAAAGTTTCAATATCTCGAAAACTATGCAGTTTAGAGCATTAAAACCTTATGGCATTTTGCAACACCTTGTCAAAAGGTTCGAAGTTTCTAAACACTTCGAACCAGTTTCTGAAGGAGGTTGCAACATGGCATCCGAAACGTCAAACCTTTTATTACAAGACGCACGGCAAAACCCGAAAGTTTCTAGTGTTAGTTCTAGTTTTAGTTCTAATCTTAGTTTAATTATTCCATACTTTTTGTACACTCTGTATATACATTTTTTATACATATAATAATTGTGATTTTCATTGTCTAATTTAGATTCAGCTGATTATGAATTTTTTAATTCGAAACCGGTACTGATACTAATTTAATAAAACACGCAAGTAAGAAGTTTCTCTTTTTTGTTTTATTTTAAAACAGTAACTTGCAACATGGATCACTTGGATATAAAAAATAAATTAAGAATTTCTTGATTTGTGTAAATATTATTTTCGTTATTGTTATCGATTTTAACTCTTTTTAGTACTAATATTAAGAGACAGAATTATTAGTCTTTGACAAGAACTCATTGAGAAGGCTTGTTTTCCATGGCGCACTACGCTAAATATCCATATGATATGTGAGCATTTTTCAAAAAATCCTAGTTATCTCCCAAACTATTAATGTTAGGCATGGGACATATGGAATATAAAAGATGTAGAATGAGACACCAAAGACGACTAAATAATAAAATGTGGGGGGTACGATTTAAAAAAATTAAGTTATGGTACTTCCAAATTTTGAAAAATTTACGTGCCATAGTAAAGTGGCCAAACGTTCTAGACAGCTGTTCTCGGTACCAAAACATCATGTTTTGAATCCTAAATTGCTATCCCAAAAATCGAGTGTTCTCTGGTTTTCTGAACTTTCTAGAAAAAATTGGAATAACTCGAGAACGGCCGAATTAAATTGCAAAAAGTAAAGTTATTTATAAACCTTGAAAACAGACAAATTCAAATATGTAAAAATATACAGGATGTTCCATTTAAAAAATAAAGTAGGTGGCGACTTCCGGTATAAACGGAAGTGCTACAAATCTGAAAATATTTTAGTCAAAGAGAATGTAATTGATAATACTTAAGTCTGAATTCTAAAATTTTTATTTTGGCCAAAACCCAGAAACGTTTAATGACCAGTCTCACTGAGACACCCTGTATAATAAGAATAATAATAACCTTCTATTGTAGGTAAAACTGAAATATCCGAAACTTCTTTAGGAAAATTTGATATTCTCTCTCTTGTAGCTTCATCCGTTGAAGCAATACTACTTTCTAAGTCTTGAATTGCTTTTATTAATTCGTCTGGTTCTGGAGGATCACCAGCAGGAGTTCGGGGACTAAGATGAACGTGAGTTTCGAGAGTTCCATCAACCTAAAGAAATAAATGTGTTACATTTTAAACACTTTAATTTAAATAGGAATACTTCAACTATTCTAATATCAGCTTCTGATTTATTATGTTCACGATTGGGACTTTTATGTTGGTGTTTTTCCTTTTTCGAGTTTTCAGTTTTAATTTTTTTCGCAGGAGGATCTCCCATGTTAGGTAATACTACAACAAAAAAAACTATTTAGATCAAAATTAAACAATTAAAATCATTCCTACATAATGCTTGTTTATATTCGGCTATAGTTAATTCATCATACATTTCTCTTTCTTTCCAAATATGAATCAAACGTCCTAAAGAGGCTTTAATTTTTTCATCAGTTGACGACATATGCTCGAAAGCTTTTTTAAGAACACCTCCAAATTCTTTATTATATTCTGGTCCCTTCTTTTTACTGTTTTGTATGACATCATTGGCAAGGTACATTAATGTTAATTTCCGACTATCTTTTGCTGTGAGATAAAATACATAAAAATTAAATATTAAGAAAATTGGTTTACTTACCTTTTAGTAGCTCTTTAAACCAATTTTTCACTACAATTCCATGGTGTTTTCTATGATGTATTAGCCAAAGGGAAAGCGTTTGAATACTTTGTGATGAACTGTTTAATTCCGTTAGTTTTTTCATAAAAGCTCCCTCGGAAAATCCTGCCATCGTGGGAAGGAATTACGATTTTATTTGATGTTTATGACGGTATCTTGGATGTATAACCTCACTTTTCGACTACTCAAAATAATACATAAATGAAGTTAGGTAAAAGTTAACTAAATCAATCATGGCGCCAATTGGAATTAACGAAAATCTAATAATGATTTATTTTTATAATTGATGTTTATTTATAATAATTTAAAAATTAACTTAATTTTTTTTAACTTAATGTATATTATTGATTTTAATTTATATTTTTAGCCGATATAAAAGATTCCTATATTTACATTACATTCCTGTCAACTGTCAACCTAAACAACACTTTTGACGTTTTAGATTTCGCTTTATATACATCGTCACTTTATTATGAATTTTTCTTTGTAAAAAACAACGCTTTAGGTTTATTAAGTACAAAATGATTTCATCGTTTATAAAATCGTACTTATTGTTAACATCGTTAATAAGTTTAGGTAAAAATACGTGTGATTTGTTAATGACAAATTTGCAAACATTTTTTTTTATTTTTTAGCCAGTTGTTCTTACGAATTAAGATTACGAAGCGACAGTCCAGTTGTTGTTGGAGCTACTTTAACATTCCGGGCCGAGTTATATGAAGATGATAAACCAGCAACATCGACTTATAAATTTGAGTGGCAAGATAATACGAGACCATCTCATTCAAGAACTGTATGTAGAAAAATTGGTTGAATTTATTAAGAAATTTTTATAATTTTAGACTGAGTATCAAGAAGCTGTGGATGAATGGAAGGTTAATTACACAAATGTCACACCAGGAGATTATAAGCTAGTAATTACAGTGTACAAATCTTATCTTGTGTTTGATTATCCGATTGCATCTGCTGTTAAAGATTTTGAAATAACTGGTAAATACTTTATTTCACCCAATATTTTGTTTTAATTATAATCTTTTTTGTATAGAACAATTAAATGGGAGATTCAACATTATCCAAAATAACACAATAATGGATACTTTTATTTCTAATGCAGCGATAGCTTCCCATGAAATAAAACTGAATGATGCTGATTTTAATTTTTTAAAGAATCAATCAATGTCCGTTTTGACTTATTGGTTTGTTGATTGTGATTATGAAGGGGTTACTGGCAATTTAAAATTTGAAAATGAGTATAAAACTATTGATAAAGTCCATAAAATTGAGGCATTAGTTGTTGGTGGTTATGAACCTTTAACTACCACAACAACTACAACCACTACGACAACCACAACAACTACTACAACAACTACAACTCCACCAACTACAACAACTACTGTAAAACCAAGTAGTACTTCAGTGGGAATTCCTACTTCAAAAAGTGTTTCAAGTAGTGAGTTGGTTGAAGTAAAAAATAATGCGATTGAACGAAGTAAAAGGGCGGCTCATTCGAATAAAATTGATGTGTACGATAAAAGTTTATTAATTAAGTCAAATAAAACAATTAAAGGTAGCCCTATGATTTGTAATAATACTATTTTGCCTGTAGGAGCAGGTAGTATTTATGGTTATTTTTCAAAGGTTGTTACTGTGAAAGGTGAGTTTTTTAGTTTATAAAAATCATAATCATGAACTTAGTATTGGATTCTAACAACATGAAATTTCAAGTAGAAAAAAAAAGATTTTTAAGTTATAAAACAAGATCACCCAATTTTCAATAACAATAAATTGGATGTATCAAGTAATTTTATTAGAAACTCTTTTAAAACTGTGCTATTCAATTCCATCATTTAAATACCATGTAGTGAAATTTGTGTTTTTTAAGTAATTTTATGATTTTGACCATTATAGTGAAATTCCAAGTATTTCCAGAGTAATAGCTGCTTTCCTTGAAGCGCATTCTTCGCTAATTCTTTAAAAAAGGGTTTTTTTTCAAATTTTTCTTGTATTTCTTCCAACCCAACTTGGGCCCTTGGGTTATTATTATTATTGTTTTTTTCTTAAAAATTTTTTAGCTTGAACCGGTAGGAAAAAATGTAATGTTCAAAAAACAACCACAAAATACAAAAATTTATTCACTGTAATAAAAAAATATAAAAATAAACGTAAACAGTACAAAAAGTAGGCACAAGCTAAACTTGGACAATAACCAACTAAGCGCTAAATTAAGACAGCCATAGCTAAAAACTATGTAAAACACGGACAGTAAACAAAATTTAGAAAATGTATTTATATTTTTAATAACTAACATTTAGTCTTATTTATTTATTGAAACAAACAGGTTACCCTAATTACATGTTTCAACTATCTTAATAGTAGAATAACTAAGATCTATAGAACAACATCTACTAAAAAAATCAGACCACAATATAAAATAGTGATTAACAACCAATACTCAATCAGTTGAGCGCCATAAAACATTTAGTTCTGAACTCCTTGTATAACACAGAGAATATTGGTAATGAGTGAGATTATTACGGCATATGAAAGAGGATGTTTTTCTGAATTTAGTACAGATAATATTAATATTGGTTACATAAGAAAATTTTCGAGAAAAATTACTTTAAAGTTTAACTATTTCAAATTTGTTGATATGATAAAACTATACTCTGTTTTTAAACCAGGAGGAGTAAACGCGAAAGTCAGATTTACACTAGGAAAAATCACCAGAAAATATCACTAGATATTTTGGCGGTAAATTTAAATTAATAATTATTATTATTTATTTATTTACTTATTATTGTATTTATTTTCGTTTGTTATCGTCAACACTAAACATACAAATTAACATTAAAGTTATAAGTGTATTTATTTCAAAATATAATAAAGGGTTTAAGAACACAAAATTTACAATAATGACACGAAACTGTCGAATTGTCAATAACCTAACCTTCAAATTTAAAATCAAAATTGCCTGTGTGTGAACCTTCCTCGCATTCAACCAATCACGTGCAAGGTCAATCTGGTGACAAATTTAAAATACTCCTCCTGGTTTAAAAACAGAGTATAGCAGTAGCATGAGTAACTATGGTAACCAATTATTTTAAACAATTTTCTCAGTGTCAAAAAATGATTCTGTAAGTAGTTGACCTCCTTATGGAACATTTCTTGATCGAAAACTGCTTAGCTCATTAGTATGGTAAGCAAGCCTAGCTGTGATTAAATTTAAAAAGCATAGACATCTTCGAGATTTCTCGAAGTTTACCCGACCAAATGTTTCGGGAGAGGTTCAACAAAAGGTGGTTTTGGCTGGGCAAGAAAACCCTTATGTTACTGTCAGGGGTATTGGGTCAAATTTGGATATTAGTTAATCAACGGTTCCTATAGTTTTAAAAACCGCAAAATATTATATAAAGTAAACTTCATTGACGAGCAATGAGTCGTATTTTTTCTAACAACAATTTTGCTACGATGACGAAGAGTTTGTCGAAAATATATTTTTTCTGACGAGGGATTCACATTGAGTAAATAGACAAAATAGTCGGTATTGGGCTACTCAAAATCGATATTGGGCAAGAAAGTCGCACACTCAATATCTGCAAAACATCAATGTGTGGAGCGAAATAGTACGGGATACTGTCCTGACTTCTTACTTTTTGAGGAAACCTTAACAGGAAGGAGATATTTAGATTTTTTCAAAACGATATCATAATGTTGTCCCCCCTGAATTCCAATGGCAGTTATTCCAACAAGATGGCGCGCCACCACAGTTCAACAAGCTTTCTTAAATCAGTTTTTCACACTCAGGGAATTGTTTCAAACAATTGGTTACCATAGGTTACTATTTTGAAGCAAATTTGAAGAAGTTAATCTTTAAAGTAATTTTTCTCGAAAATTTTCTTATGTAACCAATATTAATATTAAGTGTACTAGATTCAGAAAAAGATCCTCTTTCATATTCCGTAAAAAATTGGAGGATTACCATTTGAAAAAAATATCGATGACGTCATAACTCGTTTAAAAAAAGATTTAAAAAATTTAAATCTTTAGATCCGTTTCAGGGATTTTTCCATAAACCGTTTATAATGATTTTATCGCCTATATCCGTTATTTTACGGACACACTGTATAATATTACCATTTTATTTAATTAATAATATTAAACTATTATTTAATTATTTAATAATAATATTAACAAAGCCCTAGGGCGACCAGAACATGCAGAGACATACAAACCAACACCTCTTAAAATTGATGGAGCACTTTATTGTTTAGTATCTTATAGAGATAACCAAGACTTATCACACCCCGTCTGACCGACAATTTTGTCATAAATATTAGTATTGAGTTTGTTTTTTATAACCATTTTAAGCCGGTTAGGTATTGACTGTATCAATTTTTCTCAAAACATGGGTGGAATTTTCTCTTATTCTTCCAACAAGGAGCTCTTCAACTCAGATTTACTAGAAACTTCATCTTTCAGAACTTTGTTATCTAAATAATGCCATCAATTTTCAATGGGATTTATGTCTAGGCTTTGGGGTTGCGTTTCCGTTACATGAGAATCGTCAGTCGCTTCCAAGAGATAGTTTACCCACGCTACGAAGTAAATTGGGTTTTAAAATATTGAGATACGCATTTTGGTTCATTATTCCTCAATGAAATGCAAAGATCCTGGTCCAGCAGCTGTAAATGACTCATGTTTCACAGTTGGTCCTTACATGTTTTAAACGCATTTTCTCATTTTTTCTTCTCCATACATATATGGCTTACCGTCTGACCCAAAAATGTTATATTTACTTTCATCAGTAAATAGAACAGTTTTCCAAAAAAGAAAATTTTTTATTATTTTTGTGCTCTTTCGCAAATATTAATCTGATCGCCTTTCTACCATATAATTTAGCATTATGTTATATCCCTAGTTCATTTTCTGTAGTAAAATGGCTTCTGTCTACAATTTTTGCAATTTCTCGTACCGATTTTCCTCCCTGGGAATGTTTAAGCACTAATTTTCTAATTTCAATCGTTGTTTGGCCTCTTTGTCTCGACATTTCGAATAAAAAGCTACATTTCCACGCGAATAATACAAAGAAGTCAATTAGGGAAATCCCCTTGTCAACTGTCAAAGCTTCTACAACATGCAATTGTTTGTAATTTTTACTTATGGCTGCCGAGTTTGGCTTGTGCCTAGTTTTTGTGCTGTTTTAATTTATTCATATATTATTTTATTACAGTGAATAAATTTTAGTATTTTGTGGTTGAATATGCAGTTAATAAATTACTGAAAATTAATTTAATTTTTTTTTTCCTAGCAATTTTCGTTTGAATATTTTTTTAGTAAGAAAGTATTATTACTCTACTGTCCGAATTTGGCTTTAAGCCCCTGTATCTCAAAACAAATATCGGCTAATTAGTTTTTATTATATTAATTAATAAAAAATAATTAAAATACATTGTGTAGTGTTAATTTAGTTTACAGCTAAAGATTGTTAAGCGAGGTTAGTTTAAAGTAATGTAAGGTTAGTATTCTTTTGGACTGTCAATCATCCGGAAAAAGAATGTTGTGTTAGGTTAGTTTTCTTTTGTAATGTCTATTATACCGTGAAGAAATGTAAGGTAAGTGTTCTTTTGTAATGTCGACCGTCGTATAACAATATAATATACGGCGATAAAATGGATGAACACCGAATTATTCGGCAAGAGCGACGTAACGAATGGCTGTTCATTGAAGCTCGGAAAGCACGGAAAAGCAGCTGCCGATGAAAAGTTCATTTTATGAAGAAAAGGAAAGTTTATTGTACGAGGCGAGTCCGTAAAATAAGTACCGTTTTGAAAAAAACACATAAAAACATATTTTCAAAACAAAACTTATTTTTACTTGTAAGAGCATGTCTTAAACTATTTTTCTACTTAGTTGTCACCATTGTTCAGACATTTGTCACCATTCATGGAAAGATGCCGGAAGTGACGACAAAGTTGTCTTAAATTTTAGTTTTTTGCTGGATCCTGAGTGTTGTTTGGATTCTGGAGTGACATGACAAACCCAAGTTTCATCACCGGTCATAATTTTGCTTAAGAATTCACCTCCTTCATCATTGTATCGAGTAAGAAATGTCAAAGCACTTCCAAGTCGGTAGGGTCGAACCCAACGGGAACACAATTTCCGATAATTTAATCGTTTTGTGACAATCTCATGCAATACAGTGGACAAAACGGTACTTATTTTCTGGTCATACGAGGGATGTATGGTCCTAGATTTGCAGATTAGCAGGCAAGTCAGTGGAAATTGTAAAAAAAAACAGTTTTTACTACTCGATAATTTTCAACACAATCTTTAATACATAAGCATACAAGGAACATAAATAGCGTAGATGACGATGGATGATGTTGGAGCACAACAAAACATCAGAAAACAGAAATTGATGGGGTATCATTTTTGGGTATAAGAGAGGCGGTCTTCACAAATGTTGACCAGAAATGTCGATGCTGGAAATTTTACCAAGAAGTCAGAGAAGAATCACTTTAACTCAAAGTGAATGAATCCAAGGCGTTGAGTTAATGCCAGAGTAGATTTGTCAAGAATCATAACATAAATCGTCATTCCAATATTTGCATGACCCTTGACAAAAAGTTTGGAATCGCTTCAAACCCAGTAGTAAGTTGTTTGCGTGCTTCAACATTTATTCAACTTCTACTGGCAGATGATGACCTTGATCGATAATTGATAAATAGCTAAATTACATAAAACCTCGAGTCTCTGAACATGTTTAGCATCAGACTTAAAGGTCTTTCCAACATTACACGCATTAGTAATGAGTCGATCTATGACGTTGGAACGCATATGCGATTTTAAGTTCTAATATCGTCTCCTAATCATGAACTAAGGTGCACCAACATCCACTAACCTCTGATAGAACACTGGAATGTTTACACAATTTAACTTTGTAAACAGCAAAGGGGTTGTACTTAAACTGAGCAACTTGAGGGACACAATCAAAGTTAATTGTCAACACAAGGTGATAACATTCCTCAGATAACAGCAAATCTTAAATGATTACTTAGTTCAAATCAATAAATATTATATTTAATAAGTAATTGTTATTGTTAACGAATGAGTTGAAATGACGGAAATAAAGGAAGTGTCGAAAGTTTAGGTTCAAACATAACTTTATGTAAACATTTTGATATACTGAATATCATTTAAAGCCTTTCTGATAAACAGTTCGGATTATCTTTCTATCTTGAAGAACACAATCTTTACGATTGTTAGCAACTTTTTGCGCCATATCATTTACATAGACTTGATAGCATAAGTTCTTTGCAGTGTTTTTCATTTCTTTACAGAATAATTTACCGTCTTATTTCAGAAATTATTAGGTACTGCATAGATTTAGACGGGTGTAACTGAATGGAGCACAACAGTTTTGAAAAATTTTATAATTTTATGATATATTCAACAGTAATCGAAAATGTTGTGATCTCGTTTTATGAACTTAACACCTTTATGAACAAACAAACAATTAAATTCACATAGTAGCTAATACATTTAATATTAATAAATTTTTTTAGCTCCAGTATCAAATTTTTCAATTAGTGGTAACAATTGGGTACATCAAGGCGATATCTTACGTTTAAAAATAAAATGTGAAGGTTCAAAATCTTTCAGTTATTGCCTTACTTATTACCCGCACATTCACAATATAACAGGAAATGAGACATGCGCTAATCCTCTTACTCTTGATTCTTGTGATTTTCCAATCATCAGATTTTATGGGACGCCAGGGCCTCAAACCATTGTTGTTGTTATTTCTAACGACATCAATAAAATGGTTCGGCCAATTACAGTAACAGTTTACGAAGGTAATTAATTTAATATTAATTTAACATAAATCTTTTTTAAATATTTTTTTTAGTAAAAAAGCAAGCACAATTATCGGTTATCGTGGTTCCTGTTTCTTTCAGTATATTAGCGATTGTATTAATTATATTTGGAGTTTCGTATCATATACAAAATAGGAGGAGGTTAATTTTTTCGTTGATAAAGAAATTAATTTGAATTAAAAAATATTTTTTGTAGATTCACGGTTGAAGTGGCAGACTTTAATTTTGGTCCACATAATCAATGTGCGGATTACATGACGTTCAGGGAGCGTTTGCGGGAATCCATAATGAATACCTTTACAAGAACCCAAGTGAATAATTCCGAAGAGAACAGCGAAAGCGGTCCTATATGGCCTCCAAATCAAAAGTACGGAAGCATGCCTAGATTTTAATTGTTTTAAATTGTCAAATCTATAAAATTATTATGTTGAGATTTATTTTTTTTTTTCAATTTATTTTTAGTGGTTTATTCTAATAAGACGTTCTTCTAATTAGTGGAATATGACATCATAATTTAAGCGTTTAGAGGTCAAATATGCAAATCTAGTTTCTATTTTATTTTAATACGTTTTCCTAGCAGCCGTTATTCCAATCTTGATGATTGCAATTTTAAAGAAATATATTATTAATTGGCTCCACTGATAGGAATGTGATATTAGTTGTACATAGATGTGTATTTATAATTTATACTGTTAAATATTTAAGCAAAACATTTACGAATACTAATAGTATTGATACAAATGATACAAAAAGAGAATCTTAAGCAATACTTCTTTTAAATTACAGCTGCTTGTGAAGGAATATTATTGTACATAAGTACTTATTATAATATATTTTTGTTAGTAAATTATAATACGATAATTTTAAACGAAAAAGATTTAACTTTAATTTTTTTATTATACCAGCTGTTCTATAATACCAAATAAATATATCAAATTTAATTTTATTTTCTTATTTTTAAATTTGAAACGTTATTGTTCTCCAAGATGGAGCTGGGGTTATTTTTTTTGTTTGACAACCTTACTCGAGTTGTTGGACCAATATTATCAAGCCGTAAAAACCACGCGTACCATTTACCGCAGGCGTGACCCCATTGTCATCGTCCCACCCACCACCATTAAGATCCTCAAAGGTCTCGTAGGAACTGAGGCGCGGTTCGCATTCTCTACATGATAGGGTTTATTGTGATAAACACATCTCGTGGGGGGGACAAAAGAAACGTACACGGCACAGTAACAGCACCGCAGACGAGCTTATACACTTCCGGGTCCCCGAAGAAACGTCCCAACGGTTTTGACAACTTTCGTTTTTATTTATTTACGGGCGGAGGTGCCGGTAAATAAGAAAGGTCTCACTTTCCCACATGATTCCAATCATGTTTGATGATTTTAATTATTCATAAGTCTAATTAGTAAATCGTAACGAGAGAAATTGTGGTTGTTAGGGGTGGAATGTTGCAAACGCGTATTTGCGAGTGTGTTGTTTTAAACGCGTAGACCGTTTTGACTAATTAACAATTTACATCGGCTCGGTCGCGTTGTTATCGTACGCAAAGCATGAAAATACCCGTAGTTTCGCTGCAAAAACTTTTGTCCGAATCACGTGACGCGATCGGACGGGCTACGAATTCAATTATCGCGTTCTCTCGAGACCACAATTCGCTGTTTATTGTCAAGTTTACGTAAATCGCCCATATTACGTACTCAAATTAGTTCGTAGATGTGAAATAAATTAAATTACAGTAAAATCTCAACAAAATACTTTTAAGTCATACTATTAATATTATCTATTTAATACATCTGTATATTTAAATATAAATGTTAGCGCTTACAGTTTATAGATAAACTTGGGGTATTCCCCGTGATGTATAAATCAAGGACAGTAGTTCTAGTTTTAATTGTTATTCAGCGTTAGATTGTTGTATATCTGAAGATGCAAGGCTGAACCCGAAACTTTTATCAACTTTTATGAAATGCTGATTAAGTGAGTATCTTTTGAGATATGAGTCATCAAAATATCTTCATTCACTCGATAGTTATCAGAGAGTTGCATCAACCTTATTCAGACAATTATAACCTTTGGTTAGAACAAGATTGTAAAAGTTTGGGAATCCTAATGAAAACATATCATATTGGAATAAAATTGTTATTATTTATAACTCATTCGTTTGAGATATGATTCATTAAGATATCTCATTTTAATCAGACGTTATTAAAAAAAATTGGTATTTTGAAACCAATGCTAAGTAATCGAACCCAAAAAATTCTAGATACTGAAACTGAATTTACTCTATGATCATGAAATTTTGATTAATTGGGCTTTCTTTTGAGATATCAGTCATCAAAATATCTCAATTAAGACAGAAGTTATCCAAAAAATGATTTATATCTCTATTTTGTGGATTTCAAGCTATGCTAAGTAACCAAATCCTAGAAATTCTAGATACTGAAATGGGATTTTCTGTATAATTCTGATATTTTGATTAATATTGCTTTCTTTTGAGATATCAGCTATCTAAAATATCTCAATTAACACAGAAGTTATCCAAAAAATGATTTACATCTCTATTTTGTAGATTTCAAGGTATGCGATGTAACCAAATCCTAAAAATTCTAGACACTGAAATGGGGTTTTCTTTATGATTCTGAAATTTTGATTAATTGGGCTTTCTTTTCAGATATCAGTCATCAAAGTATCTCAATTAACACAGAAGTTATCCAAAAAATTCTTTACATCTCTATTTTGTAGATTTCAAGCTATGCTAAGTAACCAAATCCTAGAAATTCTAGATACTGAAACGGGATTTGCTATATGATTCTGAAATTTTGATTAATTGGGCTTTCTTTTTAGACAACAGTCATCAAAATATCTCAATTAACACAAAAGTTATTCAAAAAATTCTTTACATCTCTATTTTGTAGATTTCAAGCTATGCTAAGTAACTAAATCCTAGAAATTCTAGATACTGTATTGAGATTTTCTGTATGATTCTGATATTTTGATTAATTGGACTTTCTTTTGAGATATCAGTCATCAAAATATCTTCATTCACTCAATAGTTATCAGAGAGTTGCATCAACCTTATTCAGCTAATTATAACTTTTGGTTAGAACAAGATTGTAAAAGTTTGGGAATCCCAATGGAAACGTATCATATTGGAATAGAATTCTTATTATTTAGGCTTTATTTTGAGATATGATTCATTACGATATCTCATTTTAATCAGAAGTTATTGAAAAAAGGCTTGCATTGGTATTTTGAACGTTTCAAGAAATGCTAAATAATCGAATCTAAAAAATTCTAGATACTGAAACTGAATTTACTCTATAATCATGATATTCTGATTAATTAGGGTTTCTTTTGAGATATCAGTCATCGATATATTATGATTCACTCATCAGTTATCAAAGAAATGCGCAATTTTCAATTTGACAATTAATTATAAGTGGTTGTTAGAACAAGACTTTGAAAGTATCTGAATTTCAATTGGATCGTATTATAACGGAATAAAATATTTATTATTTGGGCTTTCTTTTGAGATATAATTCATCAAAATATCTCAATTCACTAAGAAGATATACAAGAGAAGGTTTGCATCTTTATTTTGTACATTTTTAAGTGTACTAAGTAACTAAATCCTAAAATTTCTAGATATTGAAACATATTTTTTTATATGACCACGAAAATGTGATTAATAGGGCTTTCTTTTGAGATATCAGTCGTCAAAATATCTCAATTTTCTTAGAAGTTATCGAAAAAATGTTTTGCATCTCTATTTTGTACATTTCAAACTATGCCAAGTAACCAAATCCTAAAAATTCTAGATACTGAAACATTATTTTCTGTATGATTCTGAAATTTTGATTAATTGGGCTTTCTTTTGAGATATTAGTCATCAAAATATCTCAATTAACACAGAAGTTATCCAAAAAATTCTTTACATCTCTATTTTGTAGATATCAAGCTATGCTAAGCAACCAAATCCTAAAAGTTCTAGATACTGAGACGGGATTTTCTGTATGATTCTGAAATTTTGATTAATTGGGCTTTGTTTTGAGACAACAGTAATCAAAATATCTCAATTAACACAGAAGTTATCCAAAAAATTCTTTACATCCTTATTTTGTAGATTTCAAGCTATGCCAAGTAACCAAATTCTAAAAATTCTAGATACTGAAACGGGATTTTCTGTATGATTCTGAAATTTTGATTAATGGGGCTTTTTTTTGGGATATGAGTCATCAAAATATCTCAATTAAAACAGAAGTTATCCAAAAATGATTTACATCTCTATTTTGTAGATTTCAATCTATGCTAAGTAACCAAATCCTAAAAATTCTAGATACTGAAACGGGATTTTCTGTATGATTCTGAAATTTTGATTAATGGGGCTTTTTTTTGAGATATCTGTCATCAAAATATCTCAATTCAGTTAGAAAATACCCAAAAGATGATTTGCAGCTCTATTTTGTACATTTCAAACTACACTAAATAATCAAATCCTAAAAGTTTCACATACTGAAACGGATTTTTCCGTTTAAATTGTTATTTAGCGATAGATTGTTGTATATTTTTATTGAACTAAAACTAGAACTAACACTAGACCTAGAACTGGAATCATTCGGGTTTAGCCGTTCCGAATATTTCTAGTTCTAGGTTTAATGTTAGTTCGGAAAACAAGAAATCATTTCATCACATTTAAAGATATTTTTATTTAAAAGATATTGGCCGAACCACATATATGATACAATACAATAGTATAATGATATCGATGTGTATATATCTACCAATAAAATAGGATTGAGATATTTCCTCATTGTTCTATTCTTGAAACAACGTCAAGTCCATTTATTGTGGAAATAAATCGGGGTCCATCCCAACGTTTCGGACAGCAAATGCGAAATTTATTCAATCGCGCGGCAGTCTTTTAGCCATAACGGCCGTAACATGCTCTAAAACCACGATGTTGTGATTTTATGGCATCCGAATCTTCCTCCGAGCGAATCGATATCGGCGAATTATGCTCGTTAAACGACCCCCGGTTTACATCGTCGGGGTATTAATCGGTTCCTTTTATTAGCCCGCGTCCCCCCTTATATCGAAACCAATAAATTACCGTTTAAATAAAACCAAATAGTGCTAGTTAAAGTTCGTTCTTTTCGGGGCGACTTTTATCGTTGCTCTCGAAACTTACGAGTGTTTAACGAGCGCTGTTTCGTCGCAATAATTAACCTCCCAATTAACTAAATGCCGGGAACAGAGAATAGTTTTTTTTGTGTTCTTTTGGTTATTTATAAAACCAGACGTAAACCGCGCGGTAGGGTTGTCGCAACAGAAAAAAAAGGGTGCGAGAGAACGACATCTGCGGCGAGGAACGAACCGGCGGAGCGGTCTGCTTTACTTAGACTCCGGTTTTTCATTTTATAAATGCTGGGTTGCGAGCACCGGGGGCGAAATGGCTTCGCTCGTCTACTCTCAAAGACGTTTTCTCGCTTCGCCAACCGCCGCAAGAACAAGGACGAAATCACCTAATTGCGAAGACGGTCGTCGAAGTGGCGACGGTGGTGCCACCGATGTTTGTTTCTCCTTGCGCTTTCTTATTCAATTTATTGCGAAACGAACACCTGCTACTCTTTAAATACAAATGGATGTGTTTTAGTGGTGTGTTTCTCTATATTTTTGTTACGTAAATTGCACTGAAATTTATTAAAAAGATACTGAAAGTATACCAATATTGTAGTTCATCCAATTTTACCACTTGATTGGCAAATTGTATCTGAGTGCTGATTATACTTTCATATAAACCTCTATTCAATTGCTTTTCAACATACGATTCAAGTTTATTGCGTTAGTAGATTTCTTCCTTGCTGCTTCGTTGTCTGACT